CAGATCACACACTGGAGCATCACTGCTGAGGGGCAGAGGAGTTACCTGGGATTTGGGATATTTCCAGGCGTTTTTCTCCATAAATCAGAGTGCAGTCCTGTCAGCAGCCCAGAAGCTGTGCTTCGGTGGCCCGCATTCCAAATCCTTTATAACATACAAATCCCTGGAAAGCAAAGGAAAAGACCATTAGCAGTGTCCTCCTCAGTGAGGAAGAGCGCTGACTTTTTACCTGTGTCCGTGGCTCATCTCTCTGATGACGCCGGTGTCAGGGACCGCACAAGGCCATTGCTGACATCTTCCAGAGAGTTACTATTCTACGGAAGTCCAGGAGGAGTTTGCCAACCTAGGAATCACTCTGGGTGAACGAATTCCCTCTCCTCAATGATTAAATTTTCTCCTCACCACAACTCTGAGGAGATGAGCTCAGGAATCCCATGTTCTTCTTCCCCACAAGAAACATGTCTGGAGAACAGCATGATGGCTCCTTTGCCTCCTCCAAAGCCCTTAGCGTTATCAAAGAGCCAGCACCTTCATTACCATCCATCCTAATGGGTGAACCGGGATCTGGGCTCTACCAGACAAGGTAGAAGTGAGCGCTTCATAGCAGCGAATTAAAGCTTGAGCTGGGGAATAAGGAGTCTAGTGGACCAGAAATATTGAGTTGCCAAAAGTGGGCTCAATTCTTCATTTCTGGTTAACAGCATGGGGGGGAAAAAGTATAAAATAATGTCCTCTGACTAAGACAGATCTCAGCGAGATGACCTCCGGGGAGAAGTCCTTCTTCTAATAATAAGCTTGCAAATAGCATTTAAAAATTGTATCCTCAGAATTAGCAAGGCCAGGACGTGCAACCTCCAGGCCTGATTAAAATCCTCAGGCTTCATCACCGTGGAATTGCTGTGCGAATGCCCTTGTAGCAGCACAAGCTGCAGCTCCCCAAATAGGACATTTTAATTCAGGGCACCTCTAATTTATTGTGCCGGATACCATTATATTATAAAACCAATGCAACATCTCTGCGGGCGTGATGTAGCTCTTCTTGGCTTCGGTTTAATTTATTCCCCAGTTTCAAAGCAACCAAGCCTCCGTTTCCCACACTGACGGTACCCTCACCTTGCAGGAGGCTTCAAACCCTGCTCCCACTGGCAGGTTGCTTTTTTGCCTTATTCTGATTATTTTCCATGTTATTTTCTGTACAATTGGACATAGAGACAAATCCAGATGCCCACATTGCTGTGGTGGGAGGCGCTTCCCAACATCATGGCCAAGAAGTCACCAGGTTGGCTGCTCTGAGGCCAAAAAGCTGTGAATTGGAAAAGAAGGGGGAAGGGAAAGGTTCAGCCCATGCAGATTTTTTGAAGACAATCACTTTTTGTAGGCAGTACATCCGAAGGGGGTGTTATTTTTTAATAGTAATGCAAGATGTCTGGAACAAACTGGTTTAGCTGCTGCACGCAGTAAGAGCTGCCCCTAATTAGATAAAATCTGATTTTCGGGCTCACCCAAAGCAACTTGGAAACCAGGCACTCGTTATCGACGGGACGAACTGCAGGAGAGGAGCTGCGGCAGGCTTAATAACGCAGCAAAATATTAAAGGGAGAGGCTTTAATTCTTAATAAGTAGATCCATGGGTTTCATTAACTGCTGTTCAAGGCTTTTTTTCTCTTTTTTTTTTTTAGGATGAGTTTTATTACTTCATTAATTTAAGCCTGGCCGATAAGACACATTAGGCTAATGGAGTCGCATCAGCGCTGGCAGCAGCGCTAACGGAGCTGCCTGGCGGGGATGGATCGTGGTCGTGGGGCCGCCCAGGGCTGACGGAGGAACCCCGGCTGCTCTTCCTCACCAGAGCATCGATTCCTCCATTGCAGCTGTGCTCCAAACAGCTCCGGTATCTGCTGGGGTTGGTCGGGAGCAATCCCAGCTCTGGAGCGGTGCCGCAGCAAGAGCCACAGCCTGCATTTTCACATTCCAAATGCCACATATTTAATGTCATTCTCATTCTGAAACTTTAAAACATATCATCTTAAGCCTCTTTCTGAGGAAACATCCTTGCTTGGAAACATCCAAGCATCTTTGCGGCTCCTACCGGCCGGGTCTGCCTCGGAGCAGCGGGGCCCTGCCCGGCTTCACTCCTCGTGCGGGCGAGGGCAATCCCCTGCCTGGATTCCAACAAGGCGGGAACACTGATAAAAGAGGGGAAAAAAAGCCTGGTGGATCAGATTTTTCCTTTCCTAAACTATGGGTTGATTGTCCTTGCTGGGCTGCACAACGTAGCACACCGCTTACCTACAGCCCAAGAGAGCAGAACGGCTGCCGATGGGGACGAGACGCGGCTCCAGGCGCAGCGCGGAGCATCGGCACGCAGGGAGCAGGAGGCAAGAAGCAGCAGCACCTGCACAAAAAGGAGCTGTGGCTGCTGCATAATTTGTTTGGTTTTTTTTTCTCCTCATTAAACAACATAGCAGAGCAGGAAGACATTTGTTTTATTAAAAATGCTCATTTAAAGTCTCCTTTTTGAGTTGTTTCTTCCTCCTGAAGGCTGCTTTAAGAAAATCAATCTCCTCTGTAATAAGGGAAAAGGCAATATTTTTTTCAAACTCTGTTTTGTGTTTTAGCTGAAGCAAATGGAGCTTCTTGACAAAAACATATCATGCCCGATTGCCAGCGCTGCCTTTATGTGCTGGAAGTAATTGATTCGAGGACATAGTGCTTTTCAAGAACTATTAGTGTTAAGAATTACCTATTGCACCAAACAAGCATTATGAAAAATTAATCACATGCAGACTGCCATTATTGCAAAATGCCTATGGGCCTTGCAGGGCAAGTAATTGTAATTATTTAAAAATATTTAAAAAGGCAGTCTTTTTTTTAATCCTTTTTTTTCTCCACATTTTTGGAGGACCACACTATGCAAATGCCACTGCAAATTTTTACCATCTGCCTGTAAAAATGCACAGCAGTGTCCTTAGGAGGTAGGTTTGCAAATGGGGATGTCGATATCATGGTCAGCCTCGCCGAGGCAGGCAGAGGCTCCTGGGACTCACCTGGGAAATAGTGATTGCTCCTACGGAGGCCGATACCAGAGCTGAGCAGCTGTGGGAGCTGAGCTGACTGCACTGCCCGAGCAAGGAGACAAGCAGGAAACATCCGGAGGGTTTCACATCAGCCCTGTCCTCCCCTCCTTTGCTCAAAGGCAGCACTCGGCTCCCAGGAGAGCTGCGGAAAAGGGGCCTCGGAGATGAGGCCACCACTTCACATAACCCCAGCTGGCCCTGGGTGCCCCGCCGCATCCACACCATGGGGCAGGGACAGCACCATGGGAAAATGAGAAGCCCTAAACCCTCTTCAGCTTCATGCCCAACCCAGTCCAGCCACCCCGACCATCACGGAGCGTTGGGAAGTGGAGGACCAGCAGCGGTGGAGCGAGACGCGGGCTCCGGCGGAGCAGCCTTTGATCACACGAGACCTTGTGCGAAGGAAGTTCCCCCAACCACCGCGTTCTTTAGCCATGCAAAACTTGGGCAACAAATTCCATCATCTTAAAAAGGAGAAGGAAAAAAAAAAAAAGCTTTTTACTATCAGCTTTACAACTAAATGTCCTCCTGATCTATGTCTGTGCTGGACAAAGACTCAGAAGGGAGCCTTATTCCTCTTTTACTGCTAGGTAACAGGCGGAGACATTTCCAAATAGCAGCACACGGGTGGGCTCTTGTGGCAGCAGATCAGCTCTACAGCATTAACACTGAACAGCTGGAACACCAGGCTAGGCTTGATGCATTTCATCCTCAAAACATCCAAAGTTTGCATTCCTTCTTCCAAGCTTTTGGTCTCTTAGCACATATAATCTTACTTTACTCAAATTTGTTGATTTAGAGGAGAATGGGAACACCATTTTTTCTTAAACATGTATTTTTTAAAAACTAAATATGGAATTATTAACAGAAACCACAATCAAAATACTTGGAGCTGCTTCCACAGAGCAGCTGAAAGGATGAAAGATGAAAATCTTTCAAAAAAGAGGAAAAAAAATGAGAAGACAGGGACAAGGAAGGAGGAAGGAGAACAAGGCCCCTGGCAGTGAGGAAAGAGCCAGCAGCCCTCATGGGAGATGAGCAGGTAGGGAAGGACCCTCCTTCACACAGCCATGACCTGGTCCTGAGCCCGGCTGTTCTAAGGCAAAAACAGAGTCGAGTCATCCCTGGGGACAAAGAATGACCAAGTTCAGCTTCAGACATCCCCTCTCCCTCAAGTATAGGGCAGGATGCCCAAATTGTAGGGAAAGGGGACAAAGCAGCATTTGCTCTAAAGAGAGCAATGCTTTCTACAGAGTGGTTCCAACCATTGAGTTGGCTCATTAAAACCAAAATGAAGCCCTTGCTTTTGTGGCAGACAGAATCCTCCAATTCTTCATCCATAACTCAGACCAATACTGACTAGAGAGGGAGAGAACTGAGGTGAGTCAGAGGTTTGGAGGGTCCAGACTGGCCACAAGAGCCCTCAAGAGCTGCAGCTCCACTCAAGGACAGACCTCAGCTATGTCACACTATCCACACTGCTCCAAATTTTGCACAGCTAATGAATGGCAATGATCAACTCTCTCATTTCCATACATTTGCAGAGAAATCACCTGCAAACCTCACAACATCCTTACAAAACTAAGTAAAAACACAATACAAGTAGTCAAATATACTATTTTAATGCAAATTCGTAAGATTTAAGCTCTTAATTTTGAAAATTGAGGACATTCCAAGAAAGAGTATTTGGTCCTTTTCCAAGTTTCCCATCCCCAATTAAATACTTTGTTTAAAAACAACAATTAGGTATATATTGCATTTTTAGTTAGGAAAGTGATATTGCACATTATACTGAGAAATACAAAAGTGTTTCAGCAAGTTATTCCAGCAATGTTTTCAACTTCACTTTAACAGCACTGATTGTTTTTTCAGGTTTCCATCTTATTGCATAGCATGTGCCCTGTGTTTACAGACTAAAATATACCAAAGTATTTTTAAAACAGAGAGGAAGAGAAGTCAGCTCCTTACAGAACACAAACCTTTCATCGCTTAGTCAGTACCCGTGTCCCAGCAGAAAGAAATGGTTCCTGTGGAAAAAAGGCTGTCGGATCACTTGGCAACACCAATTTCAACAGTGAGTGTAACGAGGAGCTGAGGATTTACTATTTGGCACTGTAACTAATGGCCCAAGTCCCCAAGGGCTGAAAGGCTGCAATATGCACCTATACTGTTCCTATTCTACGGTTACGTTTAATTCTAGATTGGCAATAAACAAGAAGTGAAAAACACCAAGCGAGAACAGCTGCAGCTTCATAACGTCGGTGTAACTCTGAGGGAAACGCTGGAACAGATCTGAGTGCCTCCCTGAGTGGGGGCGCACGCGGAGCTCCGCGGCCAGGCGGGAGAGGCCTCGCAGGGCCCCGAGCGCTCCCCACCTCGACGTGATGACGAGCGAGAGGCCCGGCCGAGCAGCAGCGTTTGGTGATGCCCCGCATCACCTCGTGCCTCCCTTGCGGGGCACGGGCAGCCCCTCGTGCCACCGCCCGCGGGCTGCACCCAGCTGGGGTGTCCAGCTCCAGTTCAGCGGCTGGGCAACGAGACCCCGCATCCCTCCCAGCACCTCTTTGGATCCTAACGCCCTGAATGTTATCTTGCTTTGAAACAGGCAACCAAATCTTTGTAAGGCATTCTAGTGACTGCGGGGCAAAACCATGTCCAAAGCGGATGCACTCCCAGCTATCAAAACAACTGATCCTATCACAACATTTGAGAAATCTTAAATGTCGCCTCCCCTCAACCTCCCTGCTCCCCCCACCCAAACCCATAACAAACGCTCATTAGGATTAGGAAGACAGGATTTCTTTTTGCCCAAACACAATATTCTGCTACAATAGAAGGTTCTATAGTGAGGTTCCTGAGATGCATTTGTGTACTAAAAGATTCAGCACTAACTTTGTCTCTGTTAGTTAAGAGTTCTGAACTGCAACACATGGCTTAGAAATTTTACCATAAGGTGATAATACAGCAGATCACATTTGCCCACATATTTGAGCTTTAATTTAAAAATAAGGAACACAATAACAGTGTTCTGCTACTGTAAGTCAACAATAAAAATAATAAAATAACCACATAAGCAACAGGGACCCAGCTGCAAAACGAACAAAAAGGTTATCCTCAGAACAAGTTGTTTGGCCTCATTTCGCTTCCATCCCTCAAAACAACCCAGCCTGATTTGGACTGCCTCCTTCCTGAAGGCTCACATACAATCATTCCTCAGATGTATCTAAGCTGCACTTGGAGATGGCAGGCTGGAGAAACAGCAGTTTTTGGAATTCCTCAAAGGAAGCAGAAGGCACAGCTTACAGGCACAGTTTACAGGCACAGCAGAGCACTGCAGTCAGCTGTGGGCACCACCCTGCTACGCTGGAGCACCCACAACCGTGCCCTGCACCAGGGGCAGGTTAACACTTGCTGTGGCCTCCTGCCCCGAAGGATGCAGCGACAGCCAGCCCGATTACACCGATTTGAAATAAACCCAGCCCTGAAGTAGGCTCTGGGATGGGCACAGTGGTACTATTCTTCTAGTACTAAAAACAGAAATAAAAGCCTCAAGTTACTTTACAGATGCACTGAATTTTACAACCAAATAACCAAAAATAATTTACCCCTCCCCAAGAAAGCTCAAGTTTTCCTGCTGCTGAAGACAAATGCAAGGCACTCACTTGTTAATGTTACTAGGAATGTGGAACAGCTTTTTCTTCATATACTGTCAGATAGTTTTTTGCTTTAGCAGCATCTCTCCTGACGAGGCACTAGACGCGTGACAATCAAAGTAACTTCTGGAATACCTGCTCAGCTAAGCAATACCAAGTGAGCTGCTGAGAGCGCTGCACAGCTTCGTGCACCCCTGTCCCCTCCCTACCCCCTTACAAAAAAAGGCACCTCATTTTTTACCCAGTTCTGTAGCTAGAGGTTCTTGTGACTGCGCAGTTCTATACAACTGTGTATACAAGGGATCTCATGACCATACTGATAACTCCTGGTCAGGTAAGAAGTTATCTTCTCGAGATACTGTTCTAGACAAAGCACTTTGTTTATGCCAAAACCCACAACCAGTGGGTTCCTACCTGAGTAGTATTTAAGATTGTGTATTGCTAGTCAAAATAACTCAATGATTAAACTTGTTTGAAATTGCACTTTCCCATTCCTTCCCCAATCCCAAGATCATTTCAAATTAAATACCAGACCCTTTTCTAAAGGGACATCTTCAATGCAGCTACAAAGAGGTAGCTAAATGGCACATGCCAATTTTCTTTTTTTTGAAAAGTATATCCACCCTTCATTTGCAATAATTTTTTTCATAGGAAGTCTTAAAATAAGAAAACTCTATACAGGCGGCACGTGGAGTTGCCATAGCTCAGAAGAGAGAACTCTAAGGGAACAAGATCTTCCTTCAGGTCCATAATTGAAAACCAGTGAGCATGGGGATACTCAAGCGACTCAGCATAGGCAGGTGCAGAGCTGCAGAGGACAAGCAGGTCTGGAGGCAAGTCCCGTGCTCCTCCCGACGTACAATAAGGACGACTCTGAAGAGCCCTTCAGATCAAGCCCACCATTCGATCAATCTGTCTCATGTAGTTACTCTTCAATGGCAGCAGGTATCTCCTCTCATCTGGGACTCTGTTGCACTGTTAATAAAATCACAATAATTTAAGAACTCAATTTGCAGTCAATTCTGTATCCTCCTTAACCTATTCAGCATCCGTGAGGGCAGATTTTCCTTCAAGCAGAGAAAAATCACATCCAAGAGTGCTTTTGGTCCTCACTCTCCCTCACCAGTGGCACAATTGCATACAGCAACAGAGAAAACACGAGTGATCAGCATCTCCTTTGGGCACTATGACAATGGTGACCCCCTTCTTATTGAGAGAGAAAAAAAAAAAAGTGCTTTTCTTTCTGGCAGTACAGGGTTTTTGGGCAGGGCAAAAAGAAGGAGGAGTTAAGGAAAGAACACTGATAAGTTATTAACAGAGATTTTTAAAAACTCTGTATAAAAAAAGCTGAGAATCTGGCTAGTGATAGGCACTGTACCTGTAGCTCTGTACTTCAACTGACTCCTAGCTAAAATAGGTCACCTTCACATACATCTCAGAACATTTGGATTGAGCTGAAGAGAAAAACATTTTTTTTAAAATAACTTTTGTTCTTTTCCTTCCCCACCACAGCAACACTGTAAGATTTTCAGCAAAAGCAAAGGAAAAGGGAAAAGTGACTGGAAATAACCTAACAAAGAATAAACCAATTGGTCCAAATTACTTACAAAATGACAGATTGCGCCTTCAGCTAAATCACTCTCATATTATCCTAATCCATTCCAACTACTGAAAGTGTTTTCCACAGGGGAGCATCTCAGATACGCAGTGTTCAGAAAGGAAAACAACAGAGTGCTAAAGTATCCCTTCCAAATGACTTTTTCTTTCCCCACTGCCTAATCCAGTTCAACATGTATTCCTTCTATATTAACACAACTGGGAAGAGTCTGGTTATTCCTTACATTAGAACTGAAGTTGACTGCCTTCAGTTCATTCGATTTGATTTTTTCGGTGCTGTCCTCTTCTCCAAGAAAGGTATCCCGCCACAGAGAGTCACGAAAACGTTTATCCACAGACACAACATGTCCCTCAGTAGTAAACATATATTTATTTCCAGATTTGTGCACTGGATTCTCTTCATCAAACAACTGAATGAGGGAAGCAAGAGAGAGAGCTCAAGTTGCAGCAACATTTTGTGTTCTAGCATCAAAATGCTTAAAAAAAAACAAAAAAAAGCACTTGCATTGCCATTTGAAGGATCACACAGAAGGCAAACTTCTTAGCACTAAATGGGTAGCTACTGTTCTAGCAAATGGAAATAAGCGTTTTTAAAGCAAGGGATTTATTTTGGCAGTTAAAAATAGGCAGGGAAATATTTCTCATTCGACTTAAACCATCCTTAGCTTTCTAAGCTGCGCTATGCAGGCATCTCTAGGCTGGCATTCACTGTTTCCATTCGGTTCAAAGTTTTTTTGATTGAGAACAGCATTCTAAGCACTGCTGGCTCAACTCCTTCCTCCTGCGACTGCCAAAGCCCTATGAGGAGGAGCAGAGGCCGCTGCTAGGGAGACAGCAGGGTTCCCAGCAGCAGTTCCAAGACTCCAAGCACTAGCCGCTTTCCGTCGTGCTCCCTCCTCCCAGCTGCCAACTCGCCATCCCAGTGTCCTAAAGCCCAGCTCCAGCCTGCACTCCCATGGTGGGAGACGGCTGTCAGAGGCACCGCACACTCTCCAGTGAGCTCTGGTACCACCTCTCCTAATTGCTAAGCCCACAGCTTAGCAATTTCTAATAGTGCCCTACCTGCTTACCAGGACATTCCTGTAAACAGTGCTTATAAGAGGATGCTTTTAAAATGAAGAATATATACATACCAAGTACAGATATTTACATGTTTCACTGAGAAAAAAACTCTCCATTCGATCTTCTTTTGTCTTCTCTACAACATGATGCAAGGTAGCATAGCCACACCTGAAAGATTTGAGATGAGTCGAGATGTAGTTCCCATACATTTTGATCTCCGACTGTTTCCCAATACTCATTCCATCTGTCCAAGGGATTAACTTAAAATAATTTAAAAAATAATAATATAAAGCAGTAACACTGATTTTTTATTTCACAGAATCATTTTCTGAGTCTAATCACTGACATTGTGCAGGCCTATCGTGCTGATTTACTAAAAATGCCCTTCAAGAAAAGATAAATTATTCTACCCAGCAGTCTGAATCCCATTTAACAGCAAAATAGCACTTCTTTATACTATCATATGATTCCTACAGACTTGACTATAATAGTAGTAAATATCAATATTTGAATACAAATCTACTGGCCTTCCTCTGAATTTTTCAAGTTCAGATAATCAGTATTAAAATTATGATTCACAGGTAAGGCCTTGAGAAAAAAAGTTAATATGCACAGTCTAGTATCCTCCAGTCCCACTAAACACTATGGGCCTAGGGGGTTAGAATTATTCTTCCTGGAAAGATGCAAATTTGCCGACATAGGGCACGAGATCCTCACTAATACCTTTTATAAGGTAGATTTACAAAGTTCTGAAGATATAAGCTTGTCATTGGACTATCATTCTCAAATGAGAATGAAACAGCTGTTCAATAAGTCAATCCTTATGGCTTTGGGGGATGAGAGGGTGGCTTGGTTTCTTTACTATATAAACAGATATAAAGAATCCAATCTGCCAAATACAGGTAAAGCGCACATGTTTATATAAAAAAGATATTTACATTTACACATACAAATATGTACATTTATATAATAAAACATGCACGCTTATGTAATAAAGCATACAAATATAACAGTGAGATAAGAATACTGAAGACTGACTTGGCTTTTGTGTATTTTTCCAGGCTCTGGAGGATATCCATTCCTACGTGAAGGTAAAATGGGTTCTTCGTGGCCTGGGTAAAGAAGGACAAAAGGTAGTCAGGAAACTCTTACAATAAAGGCCTTCCAGTGTCACATATTCCTGTGTGTTAGGGTAAACTTATTTTGGCAGAAGCATGACTTTGATCACTCTGTGCAAGCTTGTTACATTTGCCCTAGTGCAGGAGCCTAATACAACCTGTAGCAAATTCAAGCTCAGTGATAGTTTTCCTTTAGTCAGTAGTTATTTTAATTTACTGTACTTGCAACTAGTTATAGACCATGTCTGAGCAACAGGTCAATAATATTCATTAAGAAATCAGAACCTTGCTTTGTAAAAAACAGGCATATTTTTTCCAAAGGTCATTTACAATCATTTTTGCATGTCTTATAAGCCTACTTTGAGAGCAAACAATGTACCAGCTACATAAGACAATCAGTGCTCTAGACAGAAAACTCTGTATAAAAACATTCAGACACAGAGCTACTAAGTTTATTTTAACAGTCCGTTAGCAACAAAGTACACTGCAGGGGCTAGGGGTGGAAAAAGCAACTTTCTGATAAAAAGGATTTTTGCAAAACATTTGAGCTGTTAGTGCAGATAATAAGTACCTGATAAAGAAGATACGTGGATTCCACTAACTCTGGCCTCAGTGGATAAAAGGGAACATCTGGTGCTTGCAATTGCCAGTTGTATCTTTCTGGGAGAGCGCCGTATCGTTTCCATATGGCATAATAAAAAGCATGGAGACAAATAGCATCTTCCACATCTCCTATCAACACCTAGGCATAACAGCCATAAAGAGCTTTGTTTAACTCTCCAGGCCAGCAAATTGCTTTCGATACTGTATGGTAACATGCTCTACAATGAAACATTCCCTTCATAACAGGAGACCGGTAAAAAATAAATATATAATCCCTCCATACCAAAAGCATCAGTGAGGTTTATGCCTCATACCGAGATACATGAGGAACACCAGGATAAAGAAAAAAAATTGAAAAGTGCCTCAAATCTAGCAGAGAGCAGGCCAAGCCTGCCAGAAACTGAGCTGTCCCCCGAGCTGTGAGAATACGCAGGTGTAAACCCTTGGTTAAAGCTCAGGTTCATTTACAAGTCTGGAATTAAAAAAAGCTTCTCCAAGGCCCCTCCACTGTGTCACTCAGCCCTCAAAGCAGTGCCAGCATACTGCACCTGCAGTCCAGGAAAAAAGGCTTGCAGAGAGTCAATCCACGTGTTCATCAGGTGTCCGGTGAACATATTTACATTAACATACAAAGGAGGGTCACCTTCACCTTCATTACAAGCTTCTCGGCTGTCAAATAACAATAAGCATATGTAAATATTCACTATTTTAGAAGTACATTTTACAACACTGCCACTAGCAAGGACAAATGCCTGCAGTTTTGTTAGTGCTACACTGAAAGCCATTTTGAGGGGAAAGTCAGTCCAACTCTCAGAAAAATTCATTCTTAAAGGTATCTGCATCATATCCTTACGCAGTATCGAAGTCCTACCACACAAAAAAAGCAACACATACTAGGTAAAATCAGGCCTTAAGCAGTACCACAGTGGCTAATTCAATACATATTCTTTATATGTCTATGGCCTTAAGTCAACTGACTGCGTGCAGGGTATTTTAAAATTTTATTTCCAGAGACTACCACAAAAAATAGAATAGACTCTGAAAAGGATGGTACAGACACCATATAAATGGCATCTCTTGCTGAAGTATTTGCACATTTAAGAAACTGATACGCAAGTGAAATAACATACCCCCTTCTTAAGTGGTTCTGAATGCTCCGATAAGCATCATTGAACATCTCCAAGTCTTCCCTTTCTCCAAAGAGGATGTAAGACTTCAGAAGGTATTCATAGAATGAATCCGACCCTGCGCCCAAGCCGCTCTGCTTTCCAACCCAATGGCCAGTTTGAATATTCACAACATTTCCTTCCGGAGAAAGACAGAATTTTAGCTGAACATATACATGCCAAGTATATCAGAAAGAATAAATCAAAATCTTGAACTTAAAAATAGTACATATTCAAGAACTCTTTAAGAGGGAAGAACAAAGACTACTATCAAAATAAAGTGTTACAGAGCACTTACAATGAAATGGATACACCTATTTGTTTCAATTACATTTATTCATAAAATAAGCTATATTAATAAGGACATAAATGCAACAACTCCAAACTCATGTCCCAAGTTCATGAGAAATCTGTCTTTGAAACATGCCATTTCAAATCAACCGTGTCATATTAAACGAAAAAAAAAGGCCATTTCAAATTAAAAAAGATACTCCATAATCTTTTCAAAATGCCACTTGGTCAGCAGAAGGAACAATATTATTCACAAGATAGCACTATTTGACGGTCAGAGAGGAAGCAAATTGGTGCATTTATGATACATGAAATAAATCCGCTGAAGGACAGCATTCCACTGCAGGAGACCAAGATAACTAAAACACTGAGCTAGTCAATACAGCATCAGCTGAGCTCAAAGATCTTGCTGGAGAGATTCTGAGTGTGCTGGGGTTACCTAGCAGCCCCGTGTTATTGCTCCTGAGATTCCAGAGGGCTTTGACAGCTCTCCTGGCCACCCACTCAAACGTGGAATCGCCAAGCAGTCTGCTGAGAATTCCAAACTCCACCAACAGGGAGCCGGCTCCGGCAGTACAGGTTTCGTTATTGCTGTTTGGAGGTACTCCTTTCTTCAGATTCACCTGCGAGGCAAGAAAAGCAAGTGTGAATTGCCAGAACACAATCTGCTTGTAAATCACCTCACACAACTTTGTACTAACGTGCAGTCACACCTTTATTATAAAGCCTTTATCTTTTTGTTTGCAATGCATAGTGCACTATCTGTGCGCAGTTTGAAGGTCAATGTATTGCTGCTTAGTTAAAATGCTCTCCTGAAAGAATTCTTGAAATTCTTCTAAATTTAATGAAAAGGTGGAAAATGCTAATTTTGGTATCTTTATATTTGTTAACACTTCCAAATTTAATTGACTTTTTCCACATTTCCACCAGTCATTTAATTTCTTCCAGGCACGATGCAAGTACCTCTTCCTCTAGTTTAGTTCATTTGAAATTGAGACTTTCAACTGAAGACAAGTTAAATCACTCCTGCTGCTTTATCACACTCTGAACAAAGGTGAAACCTGGCATTTCTTCAGTCTGACAAATGTGAAGGGAAAAAAAAACTAGTGCAGCTGTGCCCAGAAATTAAAAGCAGTGAGGTAAGTGCTAAGTAGTTCTGTATCTGAGAGTTCTTCCACTAGAACTTAAATCCTTCTTCTTGATAGCACCTGTTTAAAACGGGAGGTGCTGACACTGTATTAAAGGAAATTACCAATCCCAAACTGACGCAGTATGACAAGTATTACGGACCAGAGTTATTCTAAATAGTAACTTTCTAATTGTTATTCACTTTTATGATATTTCTTCTTAACCTTCTTAATGACTGCACTGTTTGCTACCATTTCCTATAAGAAAGGGAGGAAGAGCAGAGAAGAGAAGGACATGTTCCAGGCAAACTGCATGAAAACTGGTAACTATTAAACACATAAAACAATACACAAAGTAAAAGAGCATCTTAAAGAAAAGATTCACTATAGCAACTGGAGGTGCAGATCGTCAAATAATCAGCTTTGGATTCTGCTTTCATGCATACGGGGCTCACTTACCCGAGGATAAGGAATTCCAGTTTTGGTGTTCTCGAAAGCTGGAAGCAGTCTCACTGCTAGGTCATGAGCCATATGCAACAGCTCGTTGTCATAATCCTTAATGGTCATATCACCAAAAGGCTGTTTGGTATCTGTAATTATTATGTGGGCAGAAAGTAGGCTTCCCAATACCCTATTAGAAAATGAAGAAACTTTCAATTTACTCTGTTCTTCTTACTAGCTATATTTTTATTTATTCATCACAGAAACAGATCTTCTGTTTTACCACCCTGAGTGAAAGTGTAGACATCACATTCATCTGTTATTCACAGTAATTCCTAGATCCTGTTCTGCAGGATTTACCCAGGAGTTTCTTACAACATATCAAGCACTTTCATGATGGAATACAACCTTCCCCCATTGTTTTTTGTTCCTGCAATTGGCAATAGAGCTGTTAAATAAACCTAACGTTCCACCAAAGAAAGCCTACAGCAGTAGCTGAATAAAAAAACTTCAAACAGAAATTTGGAAAATCGGAGTATCTTAAACTGATATCCAAGGCAGACAGGCTTTCTGTTTTTCCATCTACAGTCATTTTACCCATAAAAGTTTAGAAACTGAGAGTAAGCAGAAAGTCCATGGAAAATAACCAAAACAGGGTAAATCTGTCGTTGAGATTGATTGTTAGATGCAACTTCAAGCCCCTATTACAAAAACTAAAGGTCTATGAGCCAAAGAAGGTTAAGATACTTAATCTTGTTCCTGTTTTAAAGGCAGGAATTTATGACTACATACCTGATTGTTGCCTCAAAAACTTGGACTGTTGAGTCTTTGTCAAATGAAACAGTGTCAATCACCAATTTCACCGCTTTCTGGAATTCTGAAGAATTTCCCATTACCTTTTTTCATAAAAAAAGATAATTTTGTCTATTGTTTCAGAAGGAGGAAGTAAAAGCACAACAAATTCACATCTTAAACATATTAGCTACCTATGGAATGGAATGCTTCAGGCTCTTGCTAACAGCTTTCCCGAGGTACCTATCTTTATGGGTATGCAGAAGTAAAAAAAGGAAACCCACAAAGACGAATTTTTGTCCTCTGGACTAACCTACGCATTCATGTACTCCCCCACCCCCAAAATCACCATGGATGGCAATCTCTCTGAACAAGAGCCTAAAACCTCTTAAGATCTTGTGTGTTGAGTGTTCTGTCAACTACTTTGCTATGCACAGAATTCAACAAGTTCTGCTAAAAAAAAAAAAAAAAAAAAAAGAACAATGCAGCCTGGTTTGACATTTATTCGACCAGGAGAGCCTGACCCTTCGGGTTTTTGATTCAGCGCTGCATGCCCTGGTCAAGAGTTTCATTGCACTAGTTGTGTTTGCATATTACCCTACTGAATGATTTCACCTAAATCCAGAGAGAAGCAAATTTAGCTCCAGCTTCAAGAAAAATGGAATGAGGAAGAAAAAAAACAGACTCCTACTTCCTTAAGTTTATTGTACGGCTGAGCATATATGGAGTCCACCTATTCTTCACAACACTCAGATTTAATAGAAAAACAGTCACATACTTGATCTAAGGAAGAGCAAAGCAGGCTTTCTCCCTGCCTGGAGATGATGGCAGTTGCTTTACCAACACAAAATCAACCATCAGCTCAAATTCCCAATTGCTGTTCCTGTTAAAATTGCTTTTATCTCACTTCCTGTTCTGTACGTTACTGCCCTGTTCAGTTAAACAGCTGTGGCTTTTCACCACAGAGTTGCAATTCCATTTCAGCTAAGAGAAGTGTTTTATGATTTGAAATATATAAATATAATCATTGTACACATCAGCCTTCCCTAAAAGAAACAGACTACAGATACTGTGCATAGACAAGTGCTGATTGTGCTCCAAAAGGCTAAGAATTTGATCTGGCTGCAAAAACAACGCTGACAGAACCTAAAGGAGTTTCTAAATACGCATTAAGAGTTCAAGAAAGGAGCTCTTTTCTATGAGGCTATACCAAAAATACACCATAAGACATAGTTAGGACCATGCTATTTTCAAGACTTATCAGAAATGCATATAACAGTCTACTTGCAAAGCTTATTCTCATCTGCTAAACTCTACCATTTTTCCCCTCTTTTCACAGATTTGCAGGTCACTCAAGCAAAACAACTATAGCTCTTAAAGCCTTCTTGAATAAAATGGGCTCTACTCATATCATTTTAGTACTTCCAGCAAATTCCAGTTCACATTCATCCTTCATGAGCATCAGTGACCACACTTTCTCAGAAGTGAATGAGTTAACCTTAGAAGATACTGCTCCCTTTCACCTCATATTGCAGAGCTTTACAACAATTTTAACTCTTCACAAGCTCATCTTGCCCTTCTTCATGTTAAGGATCTTTACTACTGTCTGCAAATCTACTCCATGCATAAGAAAGTTTCATCAGCACCCTTTATATCCATAACCTTAATGAAAAAAAAAATAATAATAAAAAAAGAAAGGCCTGTGGCTGTTCAGTCTACAGCAGGTCTTGCAAAACACCATGCAGTAACTCCCTCCAGTCAATGCTTTCTGTTCCCATTTCCCCTCAAGCCAGTGTTTCATCAATTCCACAGTTTCTAAATGCTCTCCCTCAACTCTATAAGTAGCACTCTTTGTATTTAAATCTCAAGTTGCTTCAAGATCTACTGTGATCCAAGTTCAACACCAGAACAAGAAACAGTATCAGCACTGTTCCATACCAGGAAAGATTAATGTAGCAAGACCCATCTTTTGGCAGCCATTAAGTTAAAGCTGTACTGTAGACCACCTCCCCCTCTGTCTCTTTGCTTCAAAATCTGTTCCAAAATCCTGTCTATTACTGAGATGAGATGTCACAACCGCACTTCTGCCCCAATTTAAATTTCCTGCAGTTTTGGAACTGCAATTTCATAAGCTTTTTTATAGAAGCTCCATGCTACAGAGAGAGTTTTGATTCTCCGTTTCACACACCTGGACTGGGGATAAACCAACAGATCAACTGTGACGGGTTTCCGTTCCCCTAACCTCCCTACCCGTACTAAGAACCGCACTGACAAAACAAACAAAAAGGCCCACACATTGTCAAGGGCATCTGGAGTTTCTCATCTCTCTCAAAACCTCTCACCCAATAAACTGACTTGATCCATTCAGACATTCACTACCATATCCCATTAAGACACTGGCCTTTAGATTTAAAATTAGCATAAGAATCACACTTTGATAATACATCCTAGATAAATTAGTGTATCTTTAAATTAATTTGCAAAATTCAGTTTGTTCATCTCAGCTTCCTACACTGCCCTTCTGAACTTCCTTCCTGAAGAGCTTGATTTAATTTAGCTTTAGATAGCTTTGTAGAAATTCTGAACCTTTACCAAGTAACAGAAGCAAAGTTATTACAGCTAAACAGATTAAAGACTATCTTTGCAGAACAACTGACCAAGGATTCATTAAGGTTTGGCAAATATCTAAAGGTGAGATAAAATTTTGGACATTGAGTCATATTACTTCAACTTTCCTCACAACTGAGAGACAGCCCATTACCTCTCTCCTCTGTGACACTGCAGTCCTCCCTCCTTCCTATTAATCAGTAATTTCTTCCTATTAATTGATAATTTCTCTTTGGTACAACTTGCATCATCTCCCAATACAAATACAGGAATAAAATACATATGTATAGATGTCAACAACTCACTGCTAGGGTATCCAGTGCGTCAATCAGAGTTAGCGAGTAGTTTCCCAGGACATCATTGATATTCAGATTTGAACTGGAAAGCAAAACAGAAGAAAACCCCACACAATTAGATGAACAATACTGCCCCTAAGATTGCCAAGTTACCTAAAGGGCAAGCAACCTCCACCTTGTTTTCTTCAGCCTCAACTGAATTTTTTAACTCACAGCAATGCCCAAACCTAACATGAAATCCTGAGGCCCTAAGAGTGAGGCCGGCTTTCAGCACGAGCAGAGGCCCCTCTGTGCAGCCCAACTCCCGGGACAAGTACACAAAACTGCACAAAAACACAGGGCTTCCGAGGGCATTTCAGGAAAGCTGCGTGCCGAGCTGCAGCTCAGCATGGCAGGTACCAAACAGAGAGCAAGGGACGTAAGAGACACAACTATTCACGGATAGGAGGAGAGGGAACACTGTACTCTCAAAACACAGCAGGAAGGTGAGGGCAACATCTGCTCTTCATAACACCTTACTGAGAGGAAGTGCCTGCGGGACACACGTTTGTACCCTGCCTCTCTGACTCTGGCCAGGGGTGTTTCTTATCATTGGTCCCTTTCATGGGACGGAGTCTCAGGGCTGCAGCACAGCAACAGGCGCCCATGGAGCCACAGGCCCCCCCAAATTACAATCGTCCAGGTGCATCAAAAAGTTAAGGACACCCAAAGACATGTAAAACAAGTAGAGGAACCACAGGAAATAGCAGAACTCCCCTCGGGGGGTTCTGCAGAGCCCTAAGAAGCTCCAACCAGCACCCCCAGGTCCTGAGGCGGCCCAAGCAGATCCCCTAGGCCCTCACACACCTGCAAGGGGCCCTGGCACTGCCACCTCCCCCGCAGGGGAGCGCTGAGACGCTCCAAACCCGCGGGGCTCCCGACTCGCCCCCAGCCCAGGCCGTGGAGAGCCCCAAGGAGCCGCGAGCCCCACCGAGGTTCCCGGGGAGCCCTAAGGAGCCCCGATCACCCCCCCAGCGGCTCGGGGCGCCGCGAGGTCCGCCGCGGCTCGGCGACTCACGGGTCGCGGCGGTCGGGCCCGCGGCCGCGGCAGTGCAGCGGGTCGAGCTCGTCGCGGGGGAACGCGTGCCGCATGTAGCTGTCGTAGCCGAAGGCGAACATGCGGCGGGCGGCGTCGCGCAGGCGCGCGCGCAGCTGCGGCGGGAAGGCGCCGCTGTAGCGCGCCTCGTAGTCATCCCCGCCGGGCCCCGCCGCCGGGCCCGCCGCGGGCAACCCGCTCCCGCCGCGCAGCGAGCCCCAGTGCGGGCGCCGCGCGGCGAACGGGAAGGCGAAGCGCGGGCGCACGCAGAGGCCGGGCGCCAGCCAGAGCAGCGCGTGCAGCCCCAGCCTCAGCAGCAGCAGCCCCAGCACCAGCGAGCGCCATTGCATGGTCGCCGCGCGCCGCCCGCCACCATCCTTCACCGGCACCGCGGCTCCCGCTTCCGCTTCCGCCTCGCCCCGGGACGAACACGCGCCGCCGCCACGCACGCTGGGGCGCCCCGCCCCGGCACGGCCGCCGCCGCCGCCGCTCATTGGGCGCGACGCGATGTCAATCACGCGGCGCGCACCAAGGGGGCGGAGCCACCGGCGGTGTCGTGGCAGGCAGGGTGCGCGCGGCCGAGGCCACGCCCTCCGCGGCGCCTGGGGGCGGGGCTTGGCGGCCGTTGGCGGCCCCGCCCCCCGCGGCTGAGGGGACGCGCAGCCTCCTGAGGCGAAACGGGGCAGCCGCCGCCAAAGCGACGAAACCGAGCGGGCTCTCGCCTCAGCCTCGCGCTGAGGGCTCCCGCGCCAGCCCTCGAGCCACTTGTTATATAGAACGGCTGTTGCCATGACGAGATGGGCTTTGGGCGGCCGCCTAAGTTCACCCAAGGAGGGGCCTCTTGAGAAAACTCTCCAGGCACGAGGTTTTCCTCAGTGGCCTCTCGTGGCTCTGCACTCCGCAGGCAGGAGAAGAGAAGGGGAAAATATTTTTTAAATCAACATTTTAGATTACAAAGTCTGTTAGCTGCCGAAGGAGTGCGGATTGCCAAATCTCCAGTGCTTAGCTAACAGTACGCATCTTTTTCTGGACAGCATTTACATTCCTGAGAGGAATCTTGGTTACTGTTACTGATTTTTTTCGCCTGACTTTTAAGAGAGGAAAAAAAAAAAAAAAAAAAGCAGCAGTGCTGAGGCTGCTGGCAGCTGCCTGCCTTCAAGAGAGTTAAATATCTTCGGACAAAGCAGGGGATAAAGCGTCCCACTGGCTTTTCCTTCAAGCGTGTTACCTCGTCAGCCCATGAAGGCTGTAGGAGGCTTTCAAGTCACTATGAAAAAGAAATCCTGTTACTACGATTTTATGCAGTCACACACTTAAACAGAGTGGGGTAACAGTGCTGCAGATGCTCCTTTTCTAGCGTTAGCAGCTGGAGGGCAACACGGCCTGGCTGTCGCAAGCAGCTGAGTCTAGCACTTACAGTGAGTGACTAGACCAGGCACAGAGCAACAGTGAGCCAAGAACGGGTACAGCTCTAGTGCACAGAAATAACTCCTTTGCCACTCGAAATCCTGCTACTGAGGAACAACTGAGACCGAGAAACAGACAGAAAAAGACAAGAAAAAAAAAAGGAGAAAAGAAAGGAGGAAAAAATGAAAAGAAGGAAGAAAGATGAAAGAAGAGGGAAGGGAAGGGGAAATATGAAAAAAAACCCAAAAAAGTAATAAAGTAAAAAAAAGGAAAGAAAAAAGAATGAAAAAAATGAAAGGGAAAGAAAGAAAGAAAGAAAGAAAGAAAGAAAGAAAGAAAGAAAGAAAGAAAGAAAGAAAGAAAGAAAGAAAGAAAGAAAGAAAGACCAAAATTGAAAAACATTGAAAAAAGGAAAAAAGAAAAAAAGTGAAAAAGAAAAAGGGACAGAAAGAGAAAGAAAAAAGAAAAAGAAAAAAGAATGAAAGGGAAAGGCAGAAAGAACAAAACAAAGAATAAGAACACAAAGAATAAGAACAGAAGGAAGAAAGGAAGTAAAAAAGAAAGGAAGAAAGAAGAAAAAGAAAGAAGAAAAAGAAGAAAAAGAAGAAAAAGAAGAAAAAGAAGAAAAAGAAGAAAAAGAAGAAAAAGAAGAAGGAATGGAAGGAGGAAGGGAGGGTGGGATGGAAGGAAGGAGAAAAGAGAAAAAAGAAGAAAAAAGTAGGAAAAGGAAAGGAAAAAAAAAGAAAACAGCATAGGCTGTAACTAAGAAGAAAGAATTTGGAGTATGAGGACAAGGAGAGATGGATCAGTGTGGGAATTAATTTACACAACTAGTCAAGAAGAGGAAGATGAAACAACAGAGCAAGTACGAGTACAACAGCGCCAAACGTCCTGGACTAAAACATTACACACTTGTGGAAGTGAACGGAGCACGAGCTCCCAGGCGGCTGGGGTCTGCACACAGCAGCGTAACTGAGCAAAGCTGCACACGCATGGTCCAAAGTGGGGTGTTTCACAGAATTACACCCAAGAAGATGCCCCTGCCAGGCTTGTGGCCACTCAGCCCGGCTCAAGTTACGCAGTTAGTTTGCCAGTTTCCATAGAAACCCCTCTAGCACAGAGCAAAATGTCCCCATCCACCTGGAACAGCTCCCGACCTCTCCAGGGAGGCATGGAATTCCAGGGTGGGGAACAAACCCGTTAACAGGGCAGCAAACAAATGGCACTTTTTCTGACACCCATGTCTAACAATTCAACTTTGTTTTTATGCAATTCCTCTTAAAAATACATATATAGTTATACATACACACAAAGCTGCCTATATAGCATTCAAACACAATGATTCCTAACCACTTGAGCTGTAGGCTAAGGGGAAGGACAATTTAAAATCCCCCTTAGGCTTTTTCATAGTCGTATTTTACATCGCCATTTTATGACGGTGCTTCAAAATGTACTTTTTCTAATTTATTCAGAAAAGAGTTCCTACATTTGTTACTTGAATGCATATGCCTCCCTGTACAAAAAATAGCCAAAATTAACTCCTAGAAGAGCACTTGAAGGAGTCAACTTGTTTGCACCTGTTAAAATCTCCAGAAGCAGATTTTAGCATAGTTATTTTTGGTTTAAATTCATAGTAAGAATAACTGGTGCTGAAGACTGAACTTCGTAGTAAGAACGTACCCCACAGCTGGTGCTGAAGACTTGTATATATTTTTACCAATACTTAAAAGAGCTGTGCTACTAGAGATGAATATGCGAAAGATTTTTTTCAGCAACACTTTTATTAAGTACTTCAAAACGGTCACAATGATAGCTGTCACCTTTAACACAATACAGTCTGCGAAGGCTTCATTAAAAGGCACTAATGCTGGCACAAAGGCCTACTTACCCACCTGCCACCACGTTGCAAGTAAAATATTTTACTTCCCCTCTAGACGAGCATGGAGGTATCCCCTTTAGAGCCAGTCTTTGTCATTCAAGTGACATGTAAAAGGACTCCTTGGTATCTGGCCAAGGCATACTTTTATTTTCATCACTTGTAGTTTTAAAGCAATATATTCCTTTCAGAAGGCTTAAAGTTTAGTGAGAAGTCACTCTAAGCTCACATTCTTACAACAGACGTCCCAGAGCACGGAGCAATCCTAGGCTTTCACACATTACTTCTCCTTTAACACTGCTCATTGGTTTGCTGTTCATCTCCTCTGCATCACACAGCTCCCAGCACGGCAGCTTGAGGAGTCTGGATTAGACCCAGTGCCTGGTACCGCACAGCGATCTTCAGCACGCGGCTCACTGCGGGCGCCGGGCAGCAGGGAGCGGTGTCGAGCCAAGACAGTAGCTCTGCACTCTCTGGCCAGGCACAAGCAGATCAGCACATGCTAGCACACCCACTGCACAGCCCAGGTCGACACACAACTAAGTAGGAACATGAAGAGAACCTGATAATCCAGCTAACTCATACTTCAATTAATACAGATCCCTGCATGACACAAATTTCTTTGTTTAACCAGAGAGATTATTTAAGGCATTTTCTTTGGCCTCCTTTCCTCCATTAAAATGTGAAGATTATACAGTTTTATGCCTGCATGCAAAAGGGACTATCTTTCAAGACTATTTCCACAAAGATGTAAAGAAAAAAAAGCAAACACTAATAAACTTCCTGAGTTCCATATTTCATGTACAGCTTCAAGCGTGTGCATTTTTCATGTTGCCAAGTGGTAACACCAAATTGCTCTGTGCAACTGCTTAAACATTTAGCTGCATCAGCAGCGATGGTGAGAATTTTGCTGCCCTGTAATTTAGTTTACATAAACCACCACCCACAGTGCCATTGCGTAAGCCGGTCGATAGGGCACTGCCGCTGCTCAGGGACGTCCACCCAGCCCAGCGCTAGGGTGTGTGTGGAAATGTTTCTTCCAGCCCAGTCCAGGGACTTGCTGCTCCACCATCAGCAGCACAGAGCAGTCACGTGGAACTCAACAAATGGACAAAAAACACTCAGCTGAGGGCTGCTTTAATTCAGCCATACACCACAAAAGGCTGATATACCACAAGTCTTAAAAATAAGACAGCTCTTTAACTTACATGTACATTCATGGCTCAGTATTTGCATTTTTTTTTCCACAAGACCCAGTTTTCTTAACAGATATGCTAATAGCCAAGGCCTGCACTACATCAGAAAACAGTGTCAGGACTATGGCTAGTGAATTTTAAGTACAATAACCTAAATTACATCACTACTAAAATATATGAAATGACTCCCTGAAAACATTCCGTAAAACAACTTTTGTTACGTCTGGAAAAAAATTAAAAATTTGATCAGTTTATATCTGTCATTCAGGCCAACCAGAGAGCCTAAGCCAATCAACCATCAGTGAGAGGCTAGATTGGCTCAGATTTCTAAAAGCAGAGCACTGCTAGAGCCTCCAAGTTTAGCAGACACCATTAATGCCTACCTTACAACTCCCCCTCCTTTCTTTAAGACAGCAAGGGCTTGACCTTGGACTTCAACTATGCCAGATAAAAGGTGTTTTTCCTCCCTCCAGCCCAAGGCTGAAAAGTGTTGAGAACAGCCTCGCTTTTCTGGGAAGTCTCACTACAATTCGTCTCAAAATGCAGGTAGTTGGCAGGTTTATCAAGCCCTCTAACTGAAGAAAACGTTACCCTCAACACTGGACTCAGACATTCACTTCAAGGTCTGCGTTTCTGCCAGTGTTCAAGTAGCTAAGGCCTCAGAAAGCACAGCAGAAGAATAATTAAAAACCCACATGGCACTAATCAGTTTGTGAAGTACTGCAAGCATGCTCCTTACCCTGCACAATACAGGCAGACACTGTCACTCCCTTTGCTATTTACATTTAGAAGAAACTATTATTTAAATGCCACCTTGAGGAATCAGCTGTTGGCCAAGCCCGCACTGCAGCTAACAAGTAATTAAGGCTGATACCAGCCCAGTCAGGGTGATGGATGTTGCA